CACCACCTGCTTTCCCAGCTCAGCCATAGCCCTCCCCCTGCTGTTGTCAGGAGCCTGGAAAGGTAAGTGTCTATGTGGCAGCTCTCGTGCTCCAAGGATCCCAGCCATGTTTTCAAGTCTGCGCAAGCTGAAGCCTATCTATTATCACGGAACAAGCAGTAGACAAATTCACATCCCCAAAGGCACCTGTCAGTTTATGGCAGGGGGAGGCTTTCGGCAAGCAATGTTCTCTCAGCCTAATCTATTTCACTGAGTTTTTCGGAGGATAAAATAGGAGGGATATCAAGCATGCCAACATGAGCTCTTCAGAGAAGATGAAATGAGTCTGTTATGATTTGAATGATCCAATAAGTATTTGGCCTGCTTATGGTCACTTCAGATCCATCCACAATGCCTTCCAACAGTCATTCCCTAAGAATGCAGATCTTACCATTTTTTGGCATTAGGTTCCACTGAATGGAATTTGTTGCCTAGATAAGACTCTCAAATAACAGAAAGCCCTGACTCCGAGGACATTTCCTCTGATAACAAACAGTCAATGTAGGGGAAAAATATATAAATTATCCACTGATTTGTCTGAGGTCAATGATTTAGAAAAACAATGTTTAGACACTCCAGACAAGCCCCGTGCAAAGAATGGTTTTTCAGCTGATTAAGATTACAGTTGTAAACACACACTTGCTGAGCAGTAAATCCCACTGAACTTGATAGGGTTTCCTTCTCAGTAAACATGCCTAGGCAGTTCCAGTAAGGCTGTTCTTGAAAACATAGGAATTGAAGGGTAAAGTATTCTTTACTCAGTAAAGCTTCTTTAGGTGCATGGGTAGAGTTATTTAATCCAGTCTGGTTAAGTGTAGCCGGGGTTCTTTCCGGTAGCAGAAAGTGACAGAGGGCTCAGGGCACAAAACACTAGAGAACTGTAGCCTACAGTGGGACAGGGTGGGGACTTGGCTTTGCCTCGCTTTTGAACCAAGAAGCACAGAGAAAGGGCATCCTAGCACTGCAGCCAAAACCAAAAAGAGAGAAAAGAAATCCTGGAAACAGGAGTTTTCTATAGGAAGGTTTCAAACTAAAATTGAAGTGCTAAGCAAAATGCAAAATTTCAAGTAACCATAAATGCAAAGGTGAGAGCAAACAAACTGATATGGGATCTTTTCAGGAAACATAAAATTCTTCTTTGTGGCCTATGTGAAATCACACATGTCGGTTCGTTCTGTGCCTGTGCAAACATCCTCGAAATCTTCTAAAGCCTCGAAAAAGGGCTAAGAGGCCCTGTTCACTATGCATGCTCCGTACCTAAAGGACCGCCCTCTATTCCCTTCCTACCAGTGCTGAGGCAACACTTCAGGAGTTTTCTTACAGTCCGATGCTATTTGTCTATAGTAAAAATCATCAGTATAGTTTTTCCCCTTACTTCTCACACCTTCCCTCCATTTGCTATTGTCCTTTTCAAAATGTAGATTAATAGTTTGTGTGCTAGTTCACTGTTTCGTGGTTAATGACCATTCTCATGTTTTTATGTAGTAATAATATTCCCGCTACATGTTGATATTGCCTGGGTGAGAGGCATCTACCACAAAATTGTCAGTGTTGTAAATACATATATATATATTCCTCCACTAAAACCGTTGAGTAGCAGATTATCCAAGTAGACCCCAGCTAACCTATTTCATCCAAAAATGTCCTGGAAGAGGGTGTCATCACCAGCTTTCAGTCATTCACCCAAGTGGAACCACCTCGCCCAGAAGGATTTGAGCAAGCTTTCACTGCCCTAGCCCAGGTTCTGCTCTGGCACAGGTATTGTTTATATTTCCACCGTGCTTCCACAAGTCCTCCTCAGCATTGGGCTTGACTCTCAAAAACAAGAGGTCTTCAACAAAGCTCTCTCCTGAGTCCATCACTCAATCCACTACACTACACTGGTGATCTTATGGCTATCTTTAAAACCTCAAATGGCCTGGGCCCCGGGGATCTTATATTTTTCCATTTCCCTAAAGACATGGCCTTGCACTGAACACATTTGTAGAACTAAAATTAATGGGAGTGTGTTTCACCACCACCATCACCCTAGTAATGCCCAATCCTATTGACAAAGTACTCTGTCTGGGGACATCCGCTAACTCACTTTCTCTCTGCAGATGAACAACAAGTTTCTCTGATCATTGCTTCAGCTGTTTGCCAGTTCCTTAATTTTAATGTTCAAATGTTTTTTAAGTAAAACTATTTTAACACTATGTTGTCTTGTTGTATTATTATAGCATATGCCACTATTTAGGTAGAAAGCCAGTCTAATAAATCTTAATAACAAAGTAAGTATTAAAATTAGTAACTATTAATAAAGAATAATGGTTAATCATCATGGTGTGCCTTTCAGCTGCCAGACACAGGGTCTATGTGGGCACAATATGGACCGGAAACGAAATCTAAATTGGATTTTGAGTTGATACTTCAGCACTGAAATATGAATGAGCTTCTAGATCTTCTCTGCTCAAATTCTCCACTCTCTAGATATATGGTAAAGAAACTGAAGGAGAGTCACTTAACAGTTTCTTACATATCTGGAAACTCCCCCTCAACTCCACATTTAGAGGGGTTAATCTGATGACAAGCATAGGGGATTATTAATTGCATTGGCTTTAGACAAGCACAGTCCAGGGAGGTGCTCTTTGCCAGTACACCTGCAGCCCTTTCCCCGCCCCCTTAATTGTGCCCCCACACCTGCTATTACTAGACATCCCCCCAAGGAGGGACTTGCAATCCTGCCAAGTCGTACAGTTCATTTTGTGAGGGGGATTAATATCCACCAGGGTTTGGAATGAGATCACCACATTCAGTTTCGTCCATGATAGGATTTCAAACCTTTGCTGAGTGAGAGAGAGAGAAAAACCTATTTTTAAAAAAGCTTTAGACTTAACACAGTACTTTTATGTACTCTGCATCTTTCTTAATATATGACATCTAAGGAAAAACATGGCATTAGTATTGCAATAAAGGGCAAAAGCCCAAACCTTCATGAAAAACAGCTCCAATCAGTAAAGCAGAGAGAGAGAGAAAGAGCAATGGAAGAACATTGCCTGGGAGCTTATAATATTGGGAAATGACATATTACCAAATATTGAATTCATTCAGGAGCGCCGAATGCAAGTTCCTTAAACTCCTGCACGGGGTCATGAGGAGGAGGGGAGAACAAGACCTCCTGGCTAAGGAGAAATGTTTCTTCTCCTTTCATAATACTAAAATTTAGGTTCTCTCAGTGAAATTGTTTGTATGTTAGTGGCCAACAAAAAGAAGCACATCTTTTCACAGCTTTGTTCAGAAACTTCTGTTCAAACAGAATGCAGCAATGAGGAGACTTTGAGAGGCTGAGCATCCTGATCGGATCACATCAATACTGTGATTCTTGTGCACCGGTTCCCTCTTTGATTCTAAACTCAGACAAAAGTGCTGTTTTTTTGTCCTTCCAGAGCCTCAACCAGTTTGGGACTAGGGCATTTGAAGGACAGCCAACACTGAGAAGCGTTTCAACCCTGAAATTAGCCAGGGAGGCTCTGCTTCGTGGCTTGCCATCAAATGCCATCAGCATGGAAGGGACAGCAGACGGGGCCTTTTCAGTAGTAGTCCCACTCCTGCTGAAGGAAAACATATGCCCTCATCAATATTCACTTTTAGGTAGGGCACACAACCAACAGCTCCCTCAAGTATGCCTCTCAAAGTGTGCCCTGTTCCTCCCACTGTCATCACCAAATCTCCTGCCATCCTCCTGGTTTCACACAAACTGGACATTCCTCACTACTGATAAAAGCAAAGAGATTCTGTAGCAGAATCACTAAGGGACAAGATACAGAGAGGGCTCCCCGTTCAGTTCCTTAGAGATCGATACTGTTCTTTCCAGCAATCCTGACCATTCCCAATCCCTGGCAGCTCCCAACCTTCAAACAGCCTCTGACACACAAGCCCCACGTGCAGTCCTTTGGGGTGAAGGGCAATGGAGCAGTCCTGTTTCCCTCCCCCCTCCATTCCACTGACCACGCATCTCATTTGTCCCATTTCTCTGTGCACAGTCACAGTAAGTGGAAGTCCACGTAAGCTGCTTTGCTTTGCTACTCGAAGATTATGCATCCACGTGTAACTCCAAATTTAAAAAAAAGAATCTGTTGATCAGCCTATCTCTTCTTGCTGAATGGAGAGCAGAATCTACAGATGTATGGGAGCCTTGAGTACTTCACTAAACCCACAGGCAAAAAACCCAAACAAACCGGAAATGAAGGCTTGGAGAAAAGCCATGGAAAGCCAAGAATTATGGGGTTTTAGAAAGAAAAGTGAGACAGGTGTGAGATGCAGAATCTCAAGTGTCTGCTCATGGCACCTAATTAACTAGAGCTATTCCTAGATGGAATGTGAACCCTTGCAGACAAAAGTTTTGTTTGTTTATTTGGAAATCCCTGCAGTTCTTGTTACGCTTCATCAAGTCAACCCCAATTTATGGCAACCCTGATAGTGTTTGTCCAGGTATCTAAAACATTTGAGGAGCGGTTTACTGCTGCCATCTGTGAGTTTTGATAGCTTAGTGGGGATTTGAACCCAGGCCGCTCAATTCCATGTGTGTTATTCCATTTGCTGCACCACATTGCACCTGACAGTATTATTATTCCTTACCATACTTGGTCCTCTCTGCTGATCCAGGTATAAAACTAGAGGCACATTTGTCTCTAAAAACAGTTGACAATTGCCTTCCTTGCACTAGCTAGATGAAACCTTGTAGTTGTTGGATGTTATACAGTATAACATTGAGAGTGAGCATAATTCAGCTGTCATTCTTCCTTGTCCACCATATTGCAAACAGATGGCTATGTGACATTCCCGAGCCAGAACTGGTTATACACCCGCCTATTGTTTTCCCATCTACATGAGCTAGCCGGCTGGAAGATGCCACTGATGGATGAGAGGGCAGAAATTCCCATCTTCCCTTAACAATAATCAAGCGGAAGAAGCATGCTTACCTTGGCCTCTGCAGGAAAATTTTAACCATGGCTCTGTCAACAGCTGCAGGAGAAAGTTGTTCAAAGTAGGGCAGTTCGGCCTCTTTCTCTGTCCCACACGCCTTTGACATTAAGGTTGATTCATGAGATCCACACTCCTTTTGTAACCTGCCAATGCCTTTTGGGCAGGGCAAGCTATAAACCTAAAACAAACAAATAACAAATGTAATTCCTCCCTGCATTTTTTTAAAGCATATCAGTGCTTAGATTTTCATTAATGTTTCTCCATGTACATTCCTCTTACACATTAATCCTGATGCAAATGTACTTCTATGCACACTGTTCTGCACATTAAAGAGTTCCTGCTGCTATTTTTAGCTCAACATGGACTGTTTCAAGAGAAGGACGGAGTTCTTGAATTGGGTGATTACACGGAGTCCTCAATCCATAGAAGTAGTTCTGTTCTTCTCCCCCTGCTTACAAAGAGATTTGTTCTACAGCCACCAAAGCCTGGAAAAGTTACTTTTGGGGGATTGAATGCCAGAAATGCTTAATTACCATGGCCACTGGCCATATTGACTGGGGGATTCTGAGACATATGGTCTAGAACAGTAACATTTCCAAAATTCTGATTACTACACATGATCTGTGTTCACCGTGGTTAGAACCATTAGTCACAGCAAACCAGTTTCTCACCGTTCAAAATCCCATGTACCAATTACTGCAACTAATTTCAATCACATACTATCCATCCTCTGTAGTTTCAAACTGGATCCATGAAAACCCTGGGGTTTCTTGGAAGTGTATCAGGATTTAGGGCTTTTCAGGTAGAAGCCGTGTAACAGCAGATTACACCAGAGCACAGAGTGCTGTCCTCTGAAGATGCCGGCCACAGAGACTGGTGAAACGTTAGGAAGAACAACCTTCAGAACACGGCCAAAGAGCCCGAAAAGCCCACAACAACCAACAACAGATTAGCTTTACTAAGAGCAACCGTCTGCCCACAGTTACCAACGTCCCAATAAAAAACACAGACATAGGGAAATGATGGATATGTTCCAGGTGATAGATGGTGATTGTGATGCCCAGCCAACCTGGACAGTTCATTGCACAGACTCTATGTATGCTGCAGAATATATCCCAGAATCCTTTGCTGACCACAGGCGTTTCATTGTCATCAGAATGAGATGGAAATTGGACCTGTTGTGGCTGATGGCAGAAAACTCAGTAGTCAGCCTGAGTCAGAAATTGACTCTTTTAAAATGTGCCTTAACCAAGAATTGCTGTAACATAAAAGTATGTGATCGTATTTCTAAAATAAAGCATATATTTTAGAATATTAAATACAACTTTGACAAATATCTATAAACAAAAGTCACCTATGAGCATTGCAAACTATGTTTGAGAGCTAAATATGGAGATAGGCATGAGGCCTTTGCCATACCCCTGCCTCCATCATCCCCATACATCCTGAGGTTCTGCTCACATTCAGCCAAGTGGAAGTAGGAGACCAGACATTTTGGGCCCCTATAAAATGGGACCCCTGATCATGAAAGTGCGCAGAAAATCCAGATATTGCTCAAAGGGCCAGGACCCCCAGTAGCAACAGCAACAGGGACTTTGCGAAAGGAGCCAGCAAGCCCTGCCCCGTACTTAAGGCTCATATATTCTTTATATTTTCTGAAGAGAGTTAAAGTACAACAGCTTTCTGAATATGTACCAGGCATTTGGTACACTTTCCATCTGGCTCTCAATGCAAAACAGTCTTTTTGGCTTAAGCATTCATGGCTTCTGGATACAGAATCAGCGTCTTGTCTGGTGAAGCCCTCCTAGTGCTTGCTTTCTTCTTTTTATTTCTTGGTTTGCTTATACAGTACATTGCATTCTCAGCCCAGCACAGAAAAAATAAACTCTGGCAATGACTACACTACAGTGTCTTGATTCTCAGCCTATTTTGTATTTCTTTTTGAACTGGGTGATCACACTGAGTCCATGGGTTATTTTGGCACCAGTCTGCACACTGACACCTCAGTCCAATGTGATTTTATCCACTCTGCAGTCCATCACCCCCTTCTTTTGAGTTTGTTCTCTGCTGATCACTGGCTCTCCTTTTATGGTTTACTGTGAAGCTGGTAGGTTGTTTAAAGTGTTTCACAGTGTTAGGGATAAGGGAGAGTTTCCTAAAGTACAGATACATACACACATGCTGCAGAAACACAGTAGTCTGCTGTAGTTGGAGTTCTTTCTATTTCATATTTTTAACTTTTTTGTACTTTCAGAATCTATCTGTCATCTTTCTACTTCATATTTTTATCTTTTTTTGTACTTTCAGAATCTATCTGTCATTAAAATAATGTATCAATGCAGTGATAAGGTGGTGGTTTAAAAAATTAAAAATAACCTTCAGGACAACAAGAGAGAAAGATTGTAGAGGTGGGTGTTCCCACTGTCCAAAACAACACATCCAGCTTAGTATGTCATCAGAATACCACTCTCCCTCGTGTGTCCCCCCCCAAAATCCTTTTGGGGAATGAAATAACTGATCAAATGGGGGGAAAACACTGTTTGAATCATTCCCGCTTGAAAAAAGTAGGAACCCCCCACTTGGGAAGCAAAAGGGCTGGTTTGATTCACCTCAGTCTTTGTATTGGGTGATCATCAGTTAAAAATAATAACAATAATAATGCATCCATTTTACTTCCACAGCAAATTCCATACTATTTAGCCATGTAGTTGCAGCTCTGTCTTGGAGACTTGAAAGCTTAGATCAGTGGTTCTTAACCTTTTGGCCATGTAGCTGCAGCTCTGTCTTGGAGACTCGAAAGCTTAGATCATAGGCTCCCCTCCTTCCTCTCTTTTCTTTCACTTCCTTTAAGAGTCCTTGGGTAGGACAATAGTTTGTAGTGGTAACCTGGAAGAGAATTTATGGCTGTAGAACACGATCCGTGTTTTTCTTTTAAGTCTGCTATGATACAAATACGTAGATGAAAAATATGAGACAATAAACAGAATAGGTTATATTTTGTTGCCCCTGAATTTGTTTTTGTAATGCTTTTACCAAACATTTTAAATATGTTATTAATCCTTCTTTAATATTGCAATAATTTACTATGTTTATCTTTTAATATTGTGTTTTTAATGATGTAACCTGCTTTGGGGCCTTTTATTAGGAGAAAGGCAAGGTAAAATATTTTAAATATGCTAAATACAGGAAAGGAGAAAAGGGAAATAGACAAGGATTGCAAGGCAGCCTCAAGAGAAAGAGTATGTGCACATAATCTACTGCTCATAAATGCTGCCTATAAACTTTTTACAGACTTTTGCAGCCAGTCTGGATAAGATGCTAACCTGACAAGCCCAGAATTTACAACTTTGTCTTGCTCAGCTTCATCTGAATAGAAGCTTCCTCCAATGACATTTTCATGTTTAAAACCCTGATGTGCAGTGCATGCTCTGGTATCACTATATTTTATGGTCTATCAGTAGATCTGTATGTGGAAATTTGCATGGAGATGTTATATGGGTTTTTCGGCAGGGAATGCTTTCAATAGAGTTGCTATCACACATCCAGCTGTTCTGCTTCAGAATCCACAAGGAGACCTTACAGCCAACTGAACAAGGGCTCTCCTGGCTTGAAAAGCATTTCCATCAAAATACGATGCGCACAAAATGACAAAATCGCCATTGTTTGCACTTCTGATCCACGTATCAAGCTTTCGAGTCTTCTGATGGCAAAGCCATTAAAGAATTGCACATATTCAGAGTTCTGGTTCTTAAATGAGCAAAACTGCTGCCCTAGAAGTGCAGTGCCATAGCATCCCCCCCCCGTTCCACCCCACAACAACCTTTAGTCCCTTTTCCAACAACTTTGTCTTGCTCAGCTTCACCCCACAACAACCTTTAGTCCCTTTTCCACCTTTGTATTACAGAAAGCAAGGAGACACTCTGTTCTGCCAGTCCATAAGATTCTATATTGCAGGAAGGCACCTTGCCTTCAGTATAGAGAGCTGCTGCACATTGCCACCCAGTGTAAATAGCAACCGCAGCAGCAGTAGCTGCTAGTTTTGCTGGGAGGAAAGATGTCATCCACTATCAGGGCCCTATGTAAAGGTTCCCCTTGACAATTTTTGTCCAGTCGTGTTGGCTCTCCTGGCTTGAAAAGCATTTCCATCAAAATACGATGCGCACAAAATGACAAAATCGCCATTGTTTGCACTTCTGATCCACGTATCAAGCTTTCGAGTCTTCTGATGGCAAAGCCATTAAAGAATTGCACATATTCAGAGTTCTGGTTCTTAAATGAGCAAAACTGCTGCCCTAGAAGTGCAGTGCCATAGCATCCCCCCCCCGTTCCACCCCACAACAACCTTTAGTCCCTTTTCCACCTTTGTATTACAGAAAGCAAAGAGACACTCTGTTCTATATTGCAGGAAGGCACCTTGCCTTCAGTATAGAGAGCTGCTGCACATTGCCACCCAGTGTAAATAGCAACCGCAGCAGCAGTAGCTGCTAGTTTTGCTGGGAGGAAAGATGTCATCCACTATCAGGGCCCTATGTAAAGGTAAAGGTTCCCCTTGACAATTTTTGTCCAGTCGTGTTCGACTCTAGGGGGCGGTGCTCATCCCCATTTCCAAGCCATAGAGCCAGCGTTTGTCCGAAGACAATCTTCCATGGTCACATGGCCAGTGCGACTTAGACACGGAACGCTGTTACCTTCCCACCGAGATGATCCCTATTTATCTACTTGCACTTACATGCTTTCGAACCGCTAGGTTGGCGGGAGCTGGGACAAGCGACGGGAGCTCACTCCGTCACGTGGATTCGATCTTACGACTGCTTGGTCTTCTGACCCTGCAGCACAGGCTTCTGCGGTTTAGCCCACAGCGCCACCACGTCCCTAGGGCCCTATGTGCCTAGCCATAAAACTGAGCAGGGACAATGATGTCTGACTTTCATGGTCTACTACCTATGGGCTACTTTTAGATGTGTTACTCTATCTCAAGAGTACACAAGGTGCAGACTTTGAGTTTTGCTGGATTGCAACTCTCAGCATCCCACACCATTCCCTAGACTGGTTAGGGGTGGGTAAATGTTAGACTTCCTAATGTATACCAACATTGGGAAGTCTAACCAGACTTCCCAATGTATACCAACATTGGGAAGTCTAACCTTTACTCACTCTTGAGATACAGCAACACATCTG